CAGACCAAGTTTGTCCTGGATTCTGACATTCAAAAATCACTCTGACTTGCTTCAATGATGATGCAAGCACAGTACATTCTAGATGCCATGAAGATGAAGCAGGGTAGTGCAGCCCGGAAGCCCTGTGGCTGCTGCAGTTCTGATCCCATTCTTCAGTCAGCCTCTTCGACTCCAAGTGCCTTGTGATCCCCAGGGTGAAAACAGGCTGGATCTCTCGGTGAGTACCCAGTTTGCTTAGAAATGGCCTAGTAATTATAGGGAAGTCAAAAGAAGGAGCCATGGCCTCTATTCTCAGAGAAATAAAAGAGATTATTTACACCAACCCTGTGGAATCAGAAGCAAACACATTCTAAATTGGTCTCTGACCTTGAGAAGAAAGAGATCTGAGCAAGTTGCAGTGCCTGGAGAAGGCTGCATGGGGAATGTGGGTATTACACTAAAACTTGGCTTGGAAAAAGAATTGAACTGGACTAGGAAAAAAGAAAAAGAGTTGGAGCAATGACATGGTATCTGGGAGGAACAAGCATGTTAGAAGTCAGAGCCAAAGGCTTCCATCCACCAGAATATAAGATTTCTATGTGGACCTTGGGTTTCACTTAGCTTAGAAATGAGAGTTGGGAAATGTACCCAGATTGCAACCTTTTGAGTGATTTTTGTAGGAAAAACAAGTAGAGGTTGAATAAAGACTGGGTCAGGGTAGTCCTGGGTTCCATGCTTGGGTCTGCTGTTTCTTGCCAGAACAGGAAAGTCCTATTAACACACTCTCTGTGCCTCACTGTCATCTCCCTTTTCCTCCAAGGTGGGACCAATACTGCTCACCTCAGCAGGGTCTCTTGAGAGAAGTACAGGTCCCAGCGATTAGAAGGAAGTTTGAGAATTTACAAAAACAAATTCAAGCAGTGAAAGCCACGAGTACCCGAGGAACTGCTCAGGCAGGCCCAACTGTGATTGCAGGAGCAGCTTGCAGGGGAGAAACCTAAAGCCTCATTCTGAACCAACCAGAGAAAGAAAGCACCCTGGGGACCTAGAGCCACGCCCCCAGTGTTCACAGGAGAGATCAAGTCTTGCCTGAATACTAGAAGCCTGAGGATCATCTCCAGTTAAACAAAGAAGAGATGGGATGTGTCTGGTTGCAGGAAGTTAAGAACTTCCAGTTTCCACAAAGTCAGGGAGAACCCAGAGAGGAGGCTCACACGACACCCACCAACACCAGTAGGTTTTCTCCCTTCTTCACTCTCTCCCTGGAAAATAAAAAGAGCCCAAGGGAAGGAGTGTGGATGGGAGGACAGGGCAGAGCATACTAGACTATATGAGGGGAGAGAGAGCTCCCCTCTGTACACCCCAAAAGGAACATTTCAGAGAAGTTCTCATCTCACATCCATTCTTCCTTAGAGTTGAAAACCTCATTTTAAAGCCTTTCTGTTTTTCATTTTTAAAAATGTGATTGGGAACATCACAGGCATCGAGTAAGACCACGACATCTGCATTACTCCAAAGCTGGTGACTTCTTTGAGTCACTATGCTTGCAATTGGGTGATGTTCACCAGGTGAACAGTAGTCTCTGAGCTCATGATATTTTATGGCCAAGAAAAGGCTCAGTAGATGTAGACATAAGCCTCCACTAATGTCTATAAATCTCACCTGTATGGAGACTCATCCGTGGTAACTTGACAGGCTCTTGCAATGTATGGACCCTCAACTGTCTGTTTTAGGCTGGAGCCAGAGCCTCAGGCTTTGGCAATGAACCACCCACAGATTATCAATTAGCTAGCTGCTAAGCCCAGACTCAGAGTGCCTGAAGCTTCTGAACTTTCACCCAACAGTTGTCAACCAGTCTGTCAAGAGGAGAGGTTTCCACACTGATGACTAGTATCAACTCACTCATTCCCTTGGTCGTTTATTTAAGCATGCAGGGGCCAGGTGCTTGGTGTCTGGTGTTAAGCTACAGCGATAAATCCACTATGGTAGAGCAGATATTCTAAACACTTCCAGGTTATGGGGGCTCATGAAAGGACTTCAGTCTGAGGGTCCATTTCTTATGTCTGATTTTATTGAACTTTGGCATGGGGCTTCATATATCCTAGGCTGGACTCTAACTCACTTTGTAGGAAAGGATGACCTTGAATTTCTGATCCTCCTGCCTCTGCCTCCAGAGTGTTAGGGATTTAGGCATGCTAACACCATGACCAGTACTGAAGACTGAGCCAGGGATTCCCACATGTTTAGCAAACCACCTACCTAGCTATATTCTCAGCCTCTGGATCAGCATTTAAAAGTTTCAACTGAAAGGAAAGGTGGGAGAGAGTCGTCCTCCATACTTAGCACATGGGGGCAGGTGAGGCCTAGGATTGAAAAGTTTCCAGTCACTGTTACTGTTAACCTTCATACCCTCCCCAGAGTTCCTTGATTTTACAATGCATACTGCAATACTGCAGCCAAATCTGCTAGCATGTCAGTGAATAGCAACCTTAGTACTAAATCACAACTATTTCGATTATACAAAACAGTTGTGTGATAGAGTAAATTACATCATTTACAAACTCCTAAATTGAGATTCCAACTGTCAATACAACTGGACACAGAGAGATGCTAATATACACACACCCTAAAAAACTAAAAACAAACTCACAATAGGGTCTTAATCTGGTATTACCCATGTGCTTGTAGGAAGTGAGGGCTGGAGAGATGGCTCAGCAGTTAAGAGCATTTACACTCTTGTAGATAATCTGGATTCAGTGCCCAGAACCCACATGGTGGCTCACAACCATCTATAACTCCAGTTCCAAGGAACCTGACACCCTCTTTTAGCCTCTGTGGGCTCTTGCATTCATATAGTGCATATAAACTCATGCAGACACACATACACAAAACAAATAAATCTCTTTTAAGGAAAGTAGGGGATATTCAAGAAGCACACACATACACACAGAGGCATTCCTTCACTCCTTCCATGCACAGAAAAAAATCTTGTGAGAACACAGAAAAGGCAGCCATGTACACACCAGGAAGACTCGTCAAGCACCAACCCAGGCCACATCCTGATCTTGAATTTCAGCTTCTAGAACTGTGAGAAAATGCATTTGTCATTTAAGTCATCCAGACTAGGTTACAGTCATCCCTGGTTGTCCGCGGGCATTGGTTCTGGGATCTCCTTGGATCCCAAAGTCCTCAGATGCTCAAATCTCCATATTTAAATATCATCTATTTGCTTACTACAATGCATATCCTTCCAAATGCAGTTTGTCATCTCTAGATCACTTATAACACCTTAATTCGATGTAAATGCTGGGCAAATAGTTGTTGGACTGTATGATTCAAGGAGTCACAACAAATATGCGCGGCACAATGCAATCTTTAAAAGAAGTATTTTCAGTGCTCATTGGATTGACTTGGTGTGTGCCCAACTGGCAGATACAGAATAGCAGCTGCATTTTGCTGTGGTGGCCATGGGACATTAACATGATTCTCCTCTGAGAAAATTGTAAAAGCCTTCTATTATCCATTTTCTGTAGTTACAAAAACTGTCCCCGAGTCCCCTTATGAGAAAAGGACTGGAAGGGTAGAGGTGTTTACTCTTCAGAGCTGTAGGGTCCTTTCTAAAGGTTGTCATGGTAATTTCAGTCATGAAAATCTCTTATGAGATTACCCATGGCCCGCAGAAACTGAATCCTCCCTCTGTCAGAGAACTTCAGATATTGTTATAGTGAGTCTGAGTTAAGAAAATCCAGCCATTTTCATAGAATTAAGACAAATGTGTCTGAAACAAATATATTTCCTTTTATTTTCTACTTATTTTTCTTGTCCTGGGCAGTTGTCCTAGTTTGCTTTTTTATTGCTGTGATAAAAATTGTCACCAAAGCAACTCGGGGAGAAAAGAGTTTATTTCATCTTAAACCCCCAGGTCACAACCCATCATGAAGACAAGTCAGGGCAGGAACGGAATCAGAGCCCATGGAGAAATGCTGCTTACCCGCTTGTTCTGCATGGCTTGCTGTTTGAGTTTACACAACACAGGACTGTCTGACCAGGGATGACACTACCCACAGTGGACTGGGTCCTCCCACATCAATCATTATTCAAGAAATTCCCCCACGGACTTGCCTACAGGCCAATATGATGGAGGCATTTTCTGAATTGAAATTCGCTCTTCCCAGATGACACTGGCTGTGTCAAGTTTACAAAAACCTAACCAGAACAACAATAGAACACTTACTTTCATCCACTAAGTTTCTAAAAGTCCAGGGATAAAAGGAATTAGCAATAAGCAATGAGAAAGAGGCGGAAGCATCATAACTTCCAGCGATAGAAGTCTTAGCTGTGGGCCAGTGAGGGGCTCAGCAGGTAAAGGAAGGCCCTTGCTGCCGAGCCTAATGACCTGAGTTTGATCCCCAGACCCACAAGGTAGGAGAGAATGAACCACACTTATGACACAGTGCAAGTGCGTGTACACACACACACACACACACACGTTTTAAAAAGAAGTCCTTGTGAAAAGCAGTAGGAGCCATGACGATGGAAAGTAGGTGGTAATATTGGCACGTAAGATTTCTGTATTTGTCAGAATTAGTTAGATTACAGTGCAGTAACAAAAATCCCAGTTAAATATCTCAACTGTATTGGTTACTTTTCTTGTTGCTAAAGCCAAATAACTGACAAAAGCAATTTCTGGAAGGGTTTGTTTATTTGTTTGTTTGTTTGTTTGGGGGAATCACTGTTTAAGAAGATATACAGTCAATCACAGTGGGCAAAGCGCAGCATTGGAATCATGAGTTGGCCACACTACACCCACAGCCAGCAAACAGATACCAGAACAGGAAGTGAGGTCATGCTATAAAGCCTCAAGGCCTACCTCCCATTGAGCCATTTCTCCAGCAAGGCTCCACTTCCTCAAGGTTCCCAAGCAGCAACCTCAGCAGAGACCAAGTATTCAAACACATGAGTCTATGAGAGACATGTCACACTCAAATCACAATTCCAGCCACAGTTTAATTCTCACTCACAGAGTCCTCCGTAGCTAATCAGCTCTCCATGAAGCTCCCTTCCAAGACCAGTTGGAGGTCCATCATCAGGAAGAGTCTACACAGTCACTAAAAGAGAGACAGAAACAGGTGAATCAGAATGGATTTCCTTGCCACCTCAGGCAGGCTGGGTGACCAGCACTAGCCACAGGCCAGCAGATTTCACTGGGATTGAGAAATAGAGTTTCCCACGTGCCCAGAGGAGGCTGCCTGGAAATAGACTTGGTGAAAACATCACCTTTTCTGTCGCAGTCACCCAACAGTGAAAAATATCAGATAGAAAATAAACATTCCCGATTATCTGACCCCAAAATTGAGTCTCAAGTGGAAACCTTCTTCAGTGTGTGGTTGCTGAGACAGAGTGTGACTTGTCCTCCTCCCCCTGGCAATGTGGCAGAGGGACATTCTACACAGAAACCACTAGATGATCAAAAATACAAGCCATTAGACTCTACAAGATTTGGAGAGAAAACACACTTGGGTTGAAATGGCCTTCCATCTTCCTGACCCTTCTTTCCTTATCTTAGATCTTGGGAAAGACAGAACGGTCCAAGCCAAGAGCAGCATGGATGATGACAGCAAGCCTGACTCACCCATTTGGATAAAAGCCCTACAAAAAGAACTGGGAAGATGGCCAAACTCTACAGGAGGGGATGTCACAGGGCAGGAATGGAGGGGAACATTCTGCACTGAGCACAGATGGCAGCAAGTCAATGAGGGGTGGGACCATGCCTTCAGGCACACTGCCCCTGCCCCGTAGGTAAATACAGCTCAGAGAAAAGCCCCAGGCACTGACCAGTCAGGAGGACCAACCAAAGCGGGGGAGGGCTCCCCAAAAGTACTCTTTGCATCACTTCTGTAAGGAAAGGGGCAGAAGTGTACACTTTTTTTGAGAAAAAAGTCAAAATGAAGGCAGAGAGACAAAAACAGAGACAGAGATAGATAGACAGACAGACAGACAGACAGACAGAGAATGAGTTAGATTGTGTTTGATAGTCTCCCTTATTTAAATGGCAGCAGGGTCCCAGTGTTCATTGCTACAGTCCAAGGCCCCTCCCTTTGGCATCAGTGTAGCAAACTTGATCCTGAAAGTCCCGCCCTGCAGAGACTGACACTGTTGCATCCATCTGCAATCCAAGGACTGTATACTTAGTTGTCCAAAGAAAGAAGATAAAGATGGAGATGGTTCTCAAGCCTTTTCATCTCTCTGTCTCCAGCACTTAGTGACTAGGATCTATGTTGGGTGTTCAGTAACATGGGATCTGAATGAATGAATGCTCAAAGACAGAATTAGTTCTCTCTCTGCTGAGGAAGCAGTCACAGAGGAAGTCTGCACCGTCTGTTGGGACATGAATGTGTAGCTGACAGCTGGGCCAGTAGCAAAATAACCTGAGAACCGCATCCTAAGATTATCCTCCTGGATTGTCCTGCAGAGTCCCTCTCAGCTAACCTTTGTGATCAGCGTGATTCGGGTTGGGGACGGGATTGAAAGAGGAGAATTCATCCCACAGCACCTTATGCCTCCCTTTCCGGGAAGCCTTTTGTGACCAATGAAGTCCCAGTATTCTTTGAACTTCTTGTTATCCACTGCTCTCTCCTTTGACTTCTAATTATATTTTGCCTATGACCATTGGCATGAGTGAGATGCGCTCACATTATCATGTTCCTACTTTTCTCTCAAACTACATTTAGTATTTGGGGTATCTTTCACAATACATAACATACAGAAGACATTTTCTACATGTTAGTTGGCAAATACCACCAACATTAACCTGTACTGTTTAATACGTGTCAAGCCCAGGAAAACAAACATTTATTCTACAACGTCATTCCCACAATAAGGTTGGAGTGGTTGCCCCCATTTTTAAGGTAGGGAAACTAAGGATTAAAGATGAGTCTCGCCAGGGTGAGGCTAAGACTTAAATCACACCTGTGGAGTTCTAGCACCTCTTTGATGGGTGGTTGGGAAGAAAGATGAGCTCCCCAACATATTCTTACATGTTTTGTTTTTCCTTGCAAGGCAAGCGTCGTTCTCGTGGCTCCATAAGAGATTATTGTCGGGTCCCTAAGTCATGAGAAGACGTCCACAGACACAAGAAGAGCCATGCTGAGTGACAACAGCCACTGGCTTCCATTGTGGCATTTGCCACTTGGGTACTCAGACCACCCAAAGGTCAGCCTGAGCCAGTAACCCTCAGAAGGGCAGCAGCTCATTCCCAACCCAGCAGTCAAGGATAATTACTTCCAAAGCCCCACCTCCTTGTAATCAGCAGAACCATTATCTGATAGGAACTGTGAAACCAAATGCCATCAGAAGAGACATTTCAGCTCTGTCTCCCTTTGCAGCTAATTTTAGCCCCATTTCCTGCTCTTCTGATTTCCTCACCCCTCTGCTTCCAGAGTTAATTGACAGGAGGCTGGAGACTGAGGTAGCCATGCCCACATCAGTGACAAGCGCTCACTCAGTGGTGATGGATGGATCTGTCCCTTCAGTGAGCAGGAAGGGCAATCTCAGAGTTCCTTTTCCCAAGGACAAATGAAATCACCTAAGAAGCAAGAGCTTCCAGCTGGGGGAGCTGGCTACACAGCCTGACCTCCAGCTGAGCATCTCCTGGGCCCAGGTCACAAACAAAGGTGCCCTCTCTTCCTACTGAGGCTTCTTGGCGGAAAGGTGGCACTGTTTTTGCACTAAAATGCCTGTTTACACAGGGACAACTTTTCAATGGCATTCATTCACCTGGTTCAAAACCAACCAGGCCCTAACCTGTATAGGAAAATCTGCAAGAACTCAGAAGCCAGAGTAAAAGAACCCCCACATCTCACTGGCCTACCTCTGAGATGCTTTTCAAATGAATTCCTAGCAAAATCAAATTAACCCAGGATTTGTCATCCACACGGCTAGACACTTCTATTCAGCCTGAAAAGAGAGAGAACTTTTTTAAAATAGCAAGAGAGGTGGGTTGTTTTGGTTTCCTGAGCAATTACCCTTTAAAGAGAAAAATCTCCATCTGTACCCTGAAATATAATAGCCTTACCCAGGGCAGCAGGTCAGATGACTCATCAGATCCAGGCCGACCAGAGTTGACTAATGCAATTCTCCCTTAGAGGCTCTGAGTGCTGGTCCAAATGTGATTCTGTCACAGAACAAAACATGATTGGAGGAACTTGGGCATTTATTACATGACACAGTTCAGCTCAGCTGGATATATTTTTGTTTTTATTTTTTTTTAGAAGCAGCTTTCAGCAAAACTCATGCCATTACCTACCATTCATTCTGAATTCAAACGGCCTGCTCAGCCTTTAATCAATTAGGGAACAGTTGCTATTTACCATGATAAGAAGCTAGTATAAAAACTCCACTTTTTTTTTCAAGTAAGACTTTAAGTAAAAGGATATGACCAAAGTCAAATGAAAAAAGAGGGATTCTGTGGAGGACACAGGCCTTTCCCATTGCTTCAATTTTTTTTTTTTTTTTTGGTTTTACGAGACAGGGTTTCTCTGTATTGTTTTGGAGGCTGTCGGTCCAGCCTGGCCTCGAACTCACAGAGATCCGCCTGCCTCTGCCTCCCAAGTGCTGGGATTAAAGGCGTGCGCCACCACCGCCTGGCTCCTTTTTTTTTTTTTTTTGAGACAAGGTTTCTCTGTGTAGCTTTGCAGCCTGTCTGCCTGTCCTAGAGCTGGCTCTGAAGACCAGGCTGGCCTCGAAGTCACAGAGATCCACTTGCTTCTGTCTCCCTTGTTTTCGTTTTTAAAGATTGCTTACTTATTGTATATACAATGTTCTGTCTGAATGTATGCCTGCAGGCCAGAAGAGGGCACCACATCTCATTACAGATGGTTGTGAGCCACCATGTGGTTGCTGGGAATTGAACTCAGGCCCTCTGGAAGAGCAGCCAGTGCTGTTAACCTCTGAGCCATCTCTCCAGCCCTCTTCAATTCTTTTATATTTGAAATGCTCTGTGTACCGACCCTCTCTTACTCTCCTAGCCCCTCAAACAGGCTTTCACCTGCTTGGCCCTATGTGCAACCTCTGATCTCACTGTAAACACCATTCCCTTTGTTATATGCCTTCACGAAAGGGCATGCCTAGTTTTCACAGCACTTGCCAAACTTTACATGTGTGTTGCTGTGGTATTTGATCAGCGTCTGCCGCTTCCACAGGCTGTGAACTGTCGCAGGACCGAGACTCAGTCTGCTCTTGCTCATCACTGCGTCCAGAATTCCCAGCATGCTGTGTGCCTGTCTCTTAAAAAATTCAATAAGCATGCGTTGCATGGATGGATGACATACTGGTTCTCTTCAAAGTCCACGATTTTGCATGGGAGACCACTGTATTTAACACTGCTATCATACTTATCAGGAAGTTAAGCTGAGTTGTCTAACGTTGGTGTGAAAGTGAAAATAATGATCTCAGAAATAAAAGCCTTTAGCAACACCTACTGAATGCTTGTCACTTGGTCACCTCTACTGTCTGTGAAAGAGCCTTTTGTTAAGGGGGAAGGATTTCTTTGTATCCAAACGTAAACGCATGGTGTTTATCCACACAGAGTGTCACTGTAGCACCAAATCATAAAAAGTTAACTGGCTAAGTTTCCAATTCTTCAGAACTGTCTACCACCGGAATCTCTAGTGACACAGCAGCCAAACTGTGCCATGATGTGACAAGTTCCCCATGTGACTTCTCAAATAAGTGAACATCTCTGAGGCTGTCTGGTTCCTTGCAGACACTAAGCACACCCTGACACTGCAGTTTTTAACTACAAAATCCAAAGATGGCCAGTGACAATATATGTCCTCGAGATAAACAAGGCCTCAGGAGGAAATCCCCACGAAGAATTAGCAGTGAAAGCAGAAATACGAATGCATGTATTGATCTTTTGTGTTCCCTTCGATGCAGAACATCCTATGCAAATTCTGAGCGAGCAAGAAAAGCACATGAACTTTGCCATAGATCCTCTCTCATCCTTTTTGGCAACTATTTTCTTTCTTTTTTAATGTTTTAGATTTATTTATTATTTTTATGTGTATGACTATTTTGCCATCAAGCATGTGTGTATATCATGTAGGTGCTTGGTGCCTTGGGGTGTTAGATTCCCTACAACTGGAGTTACAGACGGGTGTGAGCTGCCATGGGAGTGCTGGGAATTGAATCTGGGTCCTCTTCAAGAGCAACAAGAGCTCTTAATTGCTTAGTCAACTCTCTAGCCCTGCAACTGTTTTCTGTATTATCTTATTCGTCTGGCTCCAGGCACAGCCTCTCAGTCTCTTGCCCATCCTCACTCATCCGGTTCCCACCCATGGCCACTAAGTAGGGCACACATACTCACAAACGATATGACCTAATCTTCCTACTCATAAGACAACTTCATTTCCCAGGGAAAATTTAGTCTGGCTCAGCAAAGGACCCAAGAGGCTAGAATTGCATCATTGTTTTACTTCTGCAATTCCCAAGTGTCTTTTTATGGCTCTGGATACCCTGAGACGATCTAGCCAAAAAATAAGGAAAAGGAACAATAAACTCTGTGTCCTCAGTAACCCACGACACTGGCATTTATCAGCTTGCCCTATTCAACATCGAAGTGAGGCTTTTCATTTTTGTCACCTTAATATGCCCCTTGGCCGCAAGGGTACAACACAGCAAAACAGATGCAGCCAATAATTCAGTGTGCAACCGGTCAGCAGTCAGCATTATGCCTTCTGGAAAAGCAAGTCACTGCTGCTGTTTGCCAAGTGTGGTTCTTCATCAGCTCCTGACATCTTTGAAGGTGAAGGTCATTCCAGACAACAGCTAACAGGTTCATGCAAGTTTGCAAGGTCGGACAAACATCTTCTCCTCTGGCCTGCCAGTGGTGGCAGGCCAGAGTCCCAGCTCTCCCCATCAGTGGGGCAGCTAGGAAGCCTGTTGTTCTTCTGTCCGCTGTTCCCTTGGTAATGATGACAGCATTGCAGCAACCACATCCACACTGATAGGAGGCATGGAAACCATGCTGACACCACTGCCAGAAATCCCATGCCAAGCTGGGAAGCTTCTCCCAGCAGCTAACCACCAACATGAGTGGTCTACACGCAGTAGTGATCATGGCCAGCAAAGCAGCCAGAATATTGAAACAAATACCTACTTGCCAGTTGAGTGTAGACATCCTTGCACCAAACCCTCAGAGCTTTCTTAGTGTAGATACTTAGTTTTATTTTTCACATCTTTGTTGAGCTGGTCCTGTGTGTGTGTGTGTGTGTGAGTGATTTTGAACTACCTATTCATAATAACTACATCAGATTTTAAATCACCAAAATAGCACACAAACAGGCATCCTTTCACAGCAGGGTAAGGCTCAGACAAGTTATATAGGCTGGGGTAATGTTGGTTACCAGGTAAGGATCTGAGATGGGGTGAAGACATCTGTTGTAGATAGCACATGGACAGAAGAAGGGGGGAGGGGGAGGACGGGATAAAGAAATGGAGAGAGGGGAAGGAGGAGGAAGAAAAGAAAAAAGGAAAGAACAAATGAATAGCCAGTCTACACTGGGGAAGCTGAAGCAAGAGAACTGTTGAGTTTGAACCCAGCCTGAGCTACACAGCAAGTTTTGAGCTAGCCTGGACTATAGAAAGACCCTTCCTCCAGAAACAAAAACTAATAGGCCATGCATTCTCGTTGTTCAAATTTCCCTTGAACTAAAACAACTCTACAGTGAGGAGCATTCCATCCCAGTCTCCTCTCCAACTGCTTTCGCCACTCAGGGAGCTGCTATTGTTTTTTCCGCACTATTTCCTGCTGTTGCTATTTTACCCCCCCCCCACCTCTCTGTCTGTCTGTCTCTCTCTCTCTCACACACACACAAATCATTTACACACAAATCATTTTTAAAGAAAAATATAGACGAATACTATGTAATTTGCTTTGCTCTCCTCTCCCCATCCCAACCTCAGCCCCACTTTGGTTTTTCAAAACAGGGTTTCTCTATGTAGTCTTGGCTGTCCTGGAACTTGCTTTTTAGACCAGGCTGGCCTCGAACTCGCAGAGATCCACCTGCCTTTGCCTCCCAAGTGCTGGGGTTAAAAGTGTGCACCATTACCACCCAGCTTGTGTGTGTGTGTGTGTGTGTGTGTGTGTGTGTGTGTGTGCACTCTCCTCTTTTACAGTCACATGGTATTTTGGGCAGACTATGTAGCTAGCTCTATATAAACACTTGTGTTTCTCAACTCTTCCCCTATTACAATAGTTGTACAATGAGTGTGTACAAAATTCTCTTTGTACCTGTGCTAATGTTTCTAAAGGATGTGTTCACAGAAGTGCAATAGCTGTGTCTTTGTTTATGACACAAGATGAACCATTTGCTTTTTTGTCATGGAAACATCCCTGGGTCAAGATGATTACATCAAAACAATGTCACCAACACGAGTGAGAGATGAAAAGTACTGACCAGGGCTGGACAAGAGATTGGCCAACTTGTAGCTCCTATACCAACCATTTGTGCAATGTTATAGACATTGACTAGGTTTGGGCTACTCAGAATTAAAAATCTTTTAAATATAATAAAATAGAAACAAAGAAAGAAAGAAAGGTCTAGATGCCAAACTTTAAATAGTGTCTCCCAGTTTACATTTCCCAGAAATAGATGCCCTTAGGCAAAAACCAGCACTGACTCATAGACAGAACTTAATGGATCCACAGAACAGGAAGACACTTGGCAGGAAGGAGGGAGGACAGTGCCGAAGAAATGCCCCGATAAATGCTTCAGACACTGCTCCATAAATAAGACTCGTGTGTGTGTGTGTGTGTGTGTGTGTGTGTGTGTGTGTGTGTGTGTGTGTGTGCATCTCACCAGAGGCAGGCAGAAGTATGAGGGAGGCCTCTAATAACCCATGTGTCCTGTGTGTGTTCCAAAAGTCAATGCAAGCACATAGAAGAACCAATCAGTAGAGAGATCAAGGGAATATTAAGCAGAATCAACCTTATCAAGATGCCAGCTATCCTAGATTAATCCAGAAAGATCGATGTCTTTGAAAATACTACTGTGGGGGCAGTTTGAAACATTTTGGATTGGGTTTTTGAAGGAAGCACATGTGTTAGAACTACAAAGGGGAGGGGAGGGAAGGGAGAGGAGGGGAAGGGAAGGAAAGGAAGGAAAGGAAAGG